GGAATGGCTCATTCCATTGTCTGCTGAATATGCCGATCTTAACTGTGATAGCTCAGAGGAGTATGCAATGCCCTAATGCCCTTGCTGTGTGTGTGGCCCTCTCTGGGGTGGGAGTGGCAGAGGCTGCCCCTGCCCTTTACCTCGGGGCTGCCGCAGTTACTAGCAGCTAATTGTCGTTCTTTTTCTTGCTTGGACCACAGTGTATGTTTTTTAGTGTGGTTGGCTTTGCCGAGGGGGAAAAAAGAAAAAGAGTCTGCATGGTTGGGACTGAGGAATACTGGTGGCAAAACTGAGTGAATACTCTTGAGGAGGAGAGTGAGACCAGGCAGCCTCCTGGCCTCTGTTCTGGAGTATCTGTAGGAGATGGCCATTCTGCCTCTGTCAGCCAGGCCTCCTCCCATGCTGTGTGTGTACTGGTGAGGAAATGACAAAGAAAGAAAAGGCCTGTGTGTCCAAAACCCACACCAAAAAATGTGCAACCCAGCAATGGGCAAGTAAATAGATTCCTCATGCCAGAAATGGGAGGGAAAAGAGCAAGCCAATGCCTGAGGCTTCATGGAGAAACATCAGAACAATGCTGATGGCCACCAGCCACAGAGGGGAATGGCACCAGCCTGATGTATCTCCATCATTTCCTGGAGCTTGTGCACACAGAGAAATCCTTCAGAGTGTGTTGAGGGTATGATCTCAGCACTGGCAGCAGCAATGCAATTTTTGGTAGAGAGAGGGCTCTGGAGGGAACTGGGTGACACACGTGCTTCTGGGGTCCTTCTGCACCTCCCTTTCCCTTCTGAAGAATGTAAATGCTGGGGAAGTGAACACTCTTATCCCATGTGCCACTGGTGTCTTGTGTGCCTGGATTCCAAGTCCCATCTGAGTTTTTGGGCACTAATACTGAATAACCTCTGTCACATCCTTAACACGTGTGTGGTTTCCTCACCTCCAAAACAGTTCTCAAACACTGCCTTAAAGGTCACTCCAGGAAGCTCATGGGGTTTAGTGCATGACCTTATCTATCTCCCTGTCTCACCTGGAGTTTTTGGGTGTTTCAGAGCCACAAAAACCAAACTCCAAGGCAAGGCCAAAAGTCTGCTTGATGCTGGACTGGATCTCACCCAAAGTGTCCAAGAGGTGCCATGTGTGGAGCACAAAGTATTTCTTGTTCTGGTTTGGGAGTTATGTGCTCTAGAGCTTTCTGTGGTTGTTATGTTTGAGAGGGATGCAGGAGGGAAGGAGTAGGAAGTTCTGTTTGGAGAAGTGTACCATACCAAGGGGAATGCAGCTCAAAGCTGGAGGACAGAGTGTGACACCCTTGGTCTGGATCATACAGCAGTTTTTCCTTCTTTCCAGGACATAGTGCCTTGTGGAGTGACTGTAGACAGATGGTGACATGCACTTTCCCACCCCAGGAGTTTGCTCTGGAGCTGGGATAGCCACTGTAAAGGAAATGTGCTGTCTGTCTGTGAAATCTGCTGGAGTGTGGACTCTGAGTCAGTTGCCTTCCACAGCCTGTAGACAGCCTGGCGTGGTAGCTGGTTCAGTGCTGGATGACCTCACTGTAATCCTGATGGGATGTTAAGAGTGACCTCAGTAGGCAACACTTCAGTTCTTGTCATTTTGCTGCCGGTGATCTAGAAGAATCTCACTTATAATTTGCACTTTCCCAGGCCCAAATGACATCGGAGCTTTCCTCAAGTGTCAACTGAAATCTCAAACAGCCTCTTCCATGCTCTGAAAGCTTCCGGTTCCTGCTGGAAGTTGAGTTTTCAAACCTAAAGGGGAAAAAAAAACAGCCTCTTCCATGCTCTGAAAGCTTCCCGTTCCTGCTGGAAGTTAAGTTTTCAAACCTAAAGGGAAAAAAAAACTTTTCTCAAGTGTCAACTGAAATCTCAAACAGCCTCTTCCATGCTCTGAAAGCTTCCGGTTCCTGCTGGAAGTTGAGTTTTCAAACCTAAAGGGGAAAAAAAAACAGGACATGGAAAAACTGAGAACAGAACTGTTAAATCCTGTATGGCATTAACCATCAGGATTGTTCACTGCGCTATTGATTTCTCCATTTGATCGATTAAAGCTTTATTTTGTAATGTAAATGACTGACTCAGCCCTAGCCTTCTGTCTTTGTTACACACAGAGTGTGCAGTTGGGCTACCCCAGGATATATTGAATCGAGGACATGAGCTCCCACATGCAAGTTAGTGAGTTAAGTGTTTGCCAGACACATCATAGTACACATCAGACTGTGGCGTAAAATTCTTGTTTGCTGCTTCTCCTTGTTTTCAAAATGGATTTGAGAATTTTTGTTGTTTTGCCCCCACCCCCAGCTGCTCACGAACAAGTTCAAGCTATTCATGAGGAGGCTGCTTCCAAATACAAGGTACCTGTAAAAGTCACCATGCTGGTGCAGCTGCTGCTCCATAAAGGAAAAGCAGAGACCAGCAGCTCCCCGTGAGCTCCCCCTTCCACAGGCTTTTCACGGGTGGCTCTGCAGCTAGGTCACCTCGGGCACCTGCGCATTACTGTGCGTGTGCCCCAGGCTCGCACAGAGACGTAAGGCTTTGACGTGGGCTGCAGCACTGGGGTTTCCATGCATGATGGCTTTCACTGGCTAGACTGTGATTCCGCACACATGCACACACAAAAATATAACTGGGATTACAGAGGATCAAAACCAGACTGGGAGTCAAAAAGGTCAGACAGCTGGGGAAAAACTAGGAGTGCAGTGCAAAGAAGGAATGGTTGCAGTGTGTGCATGAGCTGTGTGATAATCAGTGCATTGTGTTTATTGCTTTTATAGTATCTCAAGCTCAAGATTGTACTCAGTGCAGTCAAACTGCTGCTTCTAGCACTGTGTTGAGAAATGAACTTGGGGAAAAAAGTTACTGGGACAGTGACAAGAAATTTCGAGGGCTAAGGGAGGTGAATAACTGGGCTGTCTGGGAAAGACAGGTTTGAAAAGTGGATTGCTGCCTTCAGTGAATAAACAAAAAGTAAAATTGATTTTTTTGTAGCACTCACCAGTATTGAGAAGAGAAGGAATTTGAATTATAGCAGGAGCAGTGGAGGATGAATGTTAAGAACATTCCACTAGAAATAGCAAGGCTCAGACAGGGCTTCTGCTTGGCAGGTAAAGCCCGGATTAGGCAAACATGTCTGGGGAGAGCGGTGTGTAAGCACGACCTCCTGCTGGAGCTCTGCCGGGCTGTCTGCAGATGAGTCCGCTGCTTTAGCATCTGTTTA